AGTCCTGCAGCAGAATACTGCTGTGAAGCTCTGAGAGATGTAATAGACTTTGTACTTTATGCCAGATGTTTAGTGACTTGCAGAAATGTTCTCATTCAGCCCAGTGCAGCTTGTGGCTATATGCTCTCATCTGGAACGGTAAGTCTTTCTTAAGGGACATTACAGCTGGGATTAGTTTGATATTACATATTAAATACGAGGTTTTCATGTGTTCAATAAAGACGTGCCTGTACTACAGTTTCTTAAATTCCCCTTTTCTGCTTTTAACCAGCATATTTAGAAATTTTCTTTGGGTAATAAGGCCCTGTTACACAGGATCAGATCTCAGTATAACATCACATATGACCATGGTTTGAGCATGCACAACCTTTATATGTAGGTCAGAGTGGTTTAATACAGCAGCATACTGGGGCTCTGGGTTAGGGTGTGGGACCTACATGCAGGACTGGGATCGTTGACCTTGTGTCTAGGCTACATTCGGACCTCATCATCAACCCTGTGCAGCATTATTTGAAACCATATCTTTACTGGAATTCTGACTGGTACCTAGAGCTGCGAGCTGGAACCAGCAACTCTTTACTGGCTGGTTTCTATGAGTCTTTTCCCCTTTATGTGATCCATTAGGACATTTTTCTGGCTCAAAATGTAAAAAAGCCCCTATATGTTTTATCCCATGTGCTGAATGTTGCGCTCGGACGTCCATGTTGGTACTTTAAACACCACATCCCACATGTGCAGACTCAAAAAAATGGCAGCATCTGTAAGCAGGTCATCGTGTTTTCTTTATACAGGTGCTGGCCAGTAAATTAGAATATCATCAAAAGGTTGAAAATATTTCAGTAATTCCATTCAAAACGTGAAACTTGTACATTATATTCATGCAATGCACACAGACCAATGTATTTCCGATGTTTATTACGTTTAATTTTGATATTTATAGGTGACAACCAATGAAAACATCAAATCTGGTATCTCAGAAAATTAGAATATTCTAAAGGCCAATGAAAAAATGTTTGTTTCTCTAATGTTGGCCAACTGAAAAGAATGAACATGAAAAGAATGTGCATGTATAGCACTCAATACTTAGTCGGGGCTCCTTTTGCCTCAATAACTGCAGTAATGCGGCGTGGCATGGACTCGATCAGTCTGTGGCACTGCTCAGGTGTTATGAGAGCCCAGGTTGCTCTGATAGTCGTCTTCAGCTCCTCTGCATTGTTGGGTCTAGCGTATTGCATCCTCCGCTTCACAATACCCCATAGATTTTCTATGGGGTTATGGTCAGGCGAGTTTGCTGGCCAATCAAGGACAGGGATACCATGGTCCTTGAACCAGGTGCTGGTGGTTTTGGCACTGTGTGCAGGTGCCAAGTCCTGTTGAAAGGTGAAGTCTGCATCCCCATAAAGTTGGTCAGCAGCAGGAAGCATGAAGTGCTCTAAAACTTCCTGGTAGACGGCTGCATTGACCCTGGACCTCAGGAAACAGAGTGGGCCAACACCGGCAGATGACATGGCACCCCACACCATCACTGACGGTGGAAACTTTACACTGGACCTCATGCAACGTGGATTCTGTGCTTCTTCGCTCTTCCTCCAGACTCTGGGTCCTTGATTTCCAAAGGAAATGCAGAACTTGCTTTCATCAGAAAACATAACTTTGGACCACTCGGCATCAGTCCAGTCCTTTTTGTCCTTGGCCCAGGCGAGACGCTTCTTGCGCTGTTTCTTGTTCAAGAGTGGCTTGACACACGGAATGCGACACCTGAATCCCATGTCTTTCATGAGTCTCCTCGTGGTGGTTCTTGAAGCGCTGACTCCAGCTGCAGTCCACTCTTTGTGGATCTCCCCCACATTTTTGAATGGGTTTGTCGTCACAATTCTCTGCAGGGTGCGGTTATCCCTAGAGCTTGTACACTTTTTTCTACCACATTTTTTCCGTCCCTTCGCCTGTCTGTTAATGTGCTTGGACACAGAGCTCTGCGAACAGCCAGCTTCTTTAGCAATCACCTTTTGTGTCTTGCCCTCCTTGTGCAAGGTGTCAATGATTGTCTTTTGGACAGCTGTTAAGTCAGAAGTCTTCCCCATGATTGTGGTGCCTTCAAAACAAGACTGAGGGACCTTTTAAAGGCCTTTGCAGGTGTTTTGAGTAAATCAGCTGATTAGAGTGGCAGCAGGTGTCTTCTATATTCAGCCTTTTCAGAATATTCTAATTTTTTGAAATACCAAATTTGGAGTTTTCATTAGTTGTCACTTATGAATATCAAATTTAAATGTAATGAACATTGGAAATACATTGGTCTGTGTGCATTGCATGAATATAATGTACAAGTTTCACGTTTTGAATGGAATTACTGAAATATTTTCAACCTTTTGATGATATTCTGATTTACTGGCCAGCACCTGTATTTGAACCAGCAAAGAAAGCAAAGGCACAGGGTCCAACGTTCCACATGCCCATGGTCGTAACTCTGTGTGACTGGGACCTGGTATAACCGTGGCGCGGCTCCAGATACAAAGCTCGGGTGATCTTTGAGGTTGATTGGGGTTGAGAGGTAGCCATCAAACACCTCGTGGAACGAGCGCCGCCTGGCACCATCCCAGACGCCATCAGAATCAGCCATGCTAGAATGGAGGCCCATGTTGTCTAGCAAGAAGCTGACCTTTAAAAAATGATTAAATCTGGCACGGGCACAATGTGCTGTTGTGCCGTCTGTACCGCTCTCACTGTGCTCTCGCTTCTCTCAAACGTGCTATGTTCCCTTTTTATCATTCATCACACTCGCTGTTTGATTTATTGTTTGTTTTGCTGCCTCCCATTCTTAAATCCCGGCTTTTCTTCTTCCCAATCTGCATCGCTTCATCCTTGGCCTGGTTCTTACTGGCTAAACGTGTTTTCCTGATGCCAAAGAAAACATAAGACTCTGAAAATAAATCCCGTGTAAAAGACCTGAAATCTCCCCTTTTTTGGTATTGTTCCATTAGAATTTCTAGAACTTATTTCAGCTGGGTCTGTTGACCTGAGCTTGCCAGCTGTTAATATTTCAGTTGGCACGTGCACGCTGATGGGAAGCTTTACTGTACATGCTCAGCAGCGTAGTGGCGGGACTGGCTTGTTTAATCTCCTGCCTGTGCACCTTCAGATGGGTCTTCTTTGCGCTTTAACTTTGAGTCTCCTTTGTTGTTTAAAACTCGTACTTTTAGAGCTAACATCCTCAGCCTGCCTCTAAAACTGAGCTTCGAGCCACAGACGGCACCAACTGTTTAGCAGCTTTTATTTACTCACTTTAATTAAACTTCAGATCCCTCCCGCCCTCCCGACTGAAGCATCTGTCCTGGGATTCGGGACGCCCTGCTTCAGTCTGCTATCTGTTGTTTTCCTCAGGTTGGTCCGTCAGCTTCTTTCCTATGCTCTCCATCTTCTAGCCCGTGCTTCTTAATGAGACTGATGTTTTGTTAGCCGTTCTTTATGCCGTGGAGGTCAAACGAACTTGGAAAAATTAGATTTCAAGGGACGTTGTCCTCTCAGCATCCACGTCTTTTTTATATTTATGTATTATTCTTCCTGAAGGGAACATCATATAAGAAAGAGACACGTTTGGACCCAAAGAGCAAGTGTGACCAGAAGGTTACAGTTGTCTGGGATCGTGAGGGGAATGTCATAAAGTGGCTAACGCTCTAGCTTTAATATCACAGAATATAGATGTGTAAAGAATAGACGAGGTTGGGTTTTACCTGTTTTATCACCTGTTTTACTCCTGAGATAAACTTTAGAAGAATAGTTTGTTGACTTTTTTCCATCTAAGTAATGTCCAACGTAAACACATCATGGATTTTTATATTATTTATCCATTTATTAATAAACCAGTCATGTTTGCTGGGATGTTATGAAACGCTGATTAGACAGGTAGCCCAGATCTTGTTCAGTTGAACTCGGTTAATTAGTTCACCACATGTGATTGGCCCAAACGTGGTGATGCTTTTCATTTAAACACCTTTTAGTTCAATCCTCGCAATGACTCAGCAGCAGAGCACTTAACCACATCCTCCACTTACTCAGATTTCTGTTTGCTACGTCCTCTCCTTTTTGTTCCACTCTTACTGCATTTCTCTGATTTAAATATCCTCCTTTTGTTCTTTAGGAGCGTTTACGACCACCTCCTCTTTCTCCTCTCCTCTGTCACCCATCCTTCCTTTATCTCAATCTCTGCTATGGTGATTTGGGCGGGGCTTATCATCCATCTCTCTCCTACTCTTCTGAGCCTTTGGGTTTTATTTTCATCCCCGTGTTCACTCATTCACCCCTCTTCAGCGTTTTCAATGTTCCCAGCCATCACCCTGCCCTCTCCCTGTTTTATGGTTAGCTACCCACTCAACCACTCTCTAACGCCTTCTCCGTGGTTCCTAAAGAAACCAACATCAAACATCCAGATTTGAGCCAGTGGGAAAAGACGAAGCCCAAATGCCAGGATGGAAGTCTCATCTACTCAGTCCGTACTTTCTCGTGGTTTCCTTCACCGTTCTCCTGTTGCAATGACCCCCCATCTATCAATATTTCATCAGACTGTGCTTGTAAAGTAAAAGGTGGTAAACCTTCAAGTGTTCATGGGTGTAATTCATGAACGGAGGAGTGGTAATGTTCATGTAAGTACACTGTCACTCCTTTAGAACATGTATATGTATGTCTATAGTAAATGCATCACAGGTCATTTTGTGGACACACTTTTTAGAAAGACCCCGCTCTTCTCTAGTCATACTCCCTGACTATTCACCTGTAGGGTTTTCGTGTCATTTCTAAATTATTAACCAGTGTTGCCTCACATTTTCTCTGGGTTGGTTCTGCACATGGACACGTGATAGCTCCAGGGGTGGATGAACAGTTTCTCTTAAGTGTGGTGTTGTAGGGGATAAATATTTTAGTGGCTTTGCCTCTTTAGGTGGAGTGATAATGAGATGGGACCTGTGGTTGTGTTCATAAAACATGACTGAAGGTGTGTGATAACTGACCTGTAGATGAGCGTCTCGTCGGCGGTGCAGTTGTACTGTATCTGATACATCCAGACCACGTAGATTTCAGCCAAACGTCCCAAATCCCAGCGGACCTGGGCCGAGGTTGATGTGACTCCCTGTACTCCAACCAGCCGGCTTTCCTCCTCCCTCCCATCATCCTCCATGCTCTCCCCTTCAGAGGACTTTCCACTGTCATCTTCATTGATCTCCCCATCTCTTCGATTTCCTTCGTCCATTTCTCCTCCACGTCCTGCGACGCCATTAATCCCTCCGTTTTTCCCTGTGCTGATATCCGATGAGCCCGGATCGGCCCGTAAAATCCCATTGGTCACATTCCTGTTGTTCTTTGCATTAACACCTGTAACACCAGTGTTTCCAGTGACCCCACCTCGGTGAGGCAGTGGGATTATTTTCAGGTCCACAGTGGCGGTTGCTTCACCTGCAGCATTAATGGCGATACAGGTGTAAGCTCCATCGTCGCGTGCGACGGTCACCACGACATCCAAGGTGCCGTTGCTGAAAGAACTGGTCCTGGATGTGTTAGCAACAATGCGATCATCCGGTGAAACCCAGTGGACCACTGGTTCTGGGTCACCAATGGCTCGGCATTTCAGTGTGGCACGCTGGCCCTCCAGAACCCACAGCTTGTGGGTGTGACGGGTGATCAGAGGGGGTTCACAAGTGAACTCCTCCTCAGGAATGGACCAGAAATACCTGAGGAGCAACATAAAGAGTTAACAAGAGAACACTTGAAGCCTCAAGGATGGTTTACAAAATGAAAAACGTGGGATGTATTAAAGATGAACATGGCTGGGTAAAGATCAGACAGAAAATCTGTACAATTTCCAATGCTGCACTCGTGAAAACAGAACTGAGCAAAGGGTAATTAATGACAGATGACTGCAGCAGATGCTCGTTCTTTTTCAATCTTTATTTTCACTAAACTGTTTTGACTGCAGAGTTGAACCACATTTCTTGTAAAGAGTAAATCTGAATCAAATTAAGGACATGGTATCAGATAAGCACACCGGATCTCAGTGCTCATAGATCCCCTGTATGGTTTTTCTTTGTATTCTTGCATATATTAGAACCTCAGTTGGAGGTTAAACACCACAGTTTCTTTGGCAACCTACTAGGGGTGGGCGGTATAAACGGTATACGGTAAAATTTATATTAATTTGGCCAATAGTAGAGATTTTGACTATATCGGCCTATCGCGGTAGCGCATGTTGATGACATCATCAAGCGGCGTCTGTTGAGGCTGAAAGCATGGAGCCTGTGTTGGAGGAGGAGGAGGTTCTCGTAAAGAAGACTGGTGCAACCTCGGTCATTTGGACTTGGTTTGGCTTTAAGGAGTCTGATGTGGAGCAGAACAATATAATCTGCAAAGTATGCCGGAAGAAAGTATTGGCGAATAGAGGGAATACATCTAATTAGTTTTACCACCTCAAAACGAAGCACGTAGTGGAATACGAAGAAAGCCAAAAACTGCGTCCTCAACAAACGCCCAGTCAGTCGAGCGGTAAGAAAAAAGGTGGTCTTACACACCAGCAGACGGATATTTTACAAGCATTTGCTAAAGGCACTCAGTATGAGAAATAATAAACGGTGGATTGATATTACAAATGCCATTATCACGTACCCGTGTAAGGACTTGGTGCCGTTTCTTACAGTGGAGAAAAGCGGCTTTCGATTAAGACACTCGATCCACGTTACGAGGTACCGAGCCGCAAACACTTCAGCCAAACAGAGATGCCAAAACCGTACGAGAAAGTCCGCGAGCAAGTAAAGCAAGACCTTATACTTAAAATATCCAAAATTTTATTTTTTATAAAAGAATGGTGTGTTCCATTTTTTTGGAAAAAGATCTGTTGCACATCTTAAATATTACTCGTAAAGCTTTTTGATTTTTGCACAATAAATTTTCTTAAATGTTATACTGGCATGTTATACTGTTTGAAGTGTGTTTATTCTGCTGCTGTAATGTATCTGGTATGTGAGTATGTTTAAAACAGTCATTTTTGACATATATACAAAAGAAAGTCATGTATCACAATATATACCGTCACCGCACATTTTTCAAATTATATCGCAATATAGATTTTAGGCTATGTCGCCCACCCCTACAACCTACGCTGAGACCATAGACCAATCACCATCCAGGCCTAAACTCTGCTCAATTAGAACAGCCCAGAACGATTCCAAGGCTCTTACCTCCCAGCCAGATGGACCGGAGTGGCACATGTCTCCATATCATCTCCTCTGATGAGTCGTCTTAACCACAGCAGCTCACAGTTGCAGTGGAGTGGGTTCCCTCCAAAGTTGAGGCTTATTACGGCGTTGTAAGGTGTGGGACTTATCGCTCCTGTCTGGGATCTGAAAGCACATGTCACGTAGATCGTCTTTGTAGACTTGCCACTTTTTTTCCCGACGTTGTAAGTAAGGACAGTCGTAAAACAAAGGGGATATTATTGGATACTAGGACACATATTTATTTCTTTGAGAAGAACTAATTCAAGAGTCTGGATGCTGCTAGCCCAATTCCAAAGTAGCATTTAGTCATAGTTGCAGATTAGGAGCAGTTGGCTTCTTGCAGAGTCAACGGGACGACAGCACAAACTTGCAAAGAGATGACTTTTTAGCATGGCTGTTATTGACATGAAGCTTAAGGAGAAATGAAACAGTTTTAAGTGTTAGTCAGATTTCAAAATGTGACTTGATGGTGCAAGTAACACTTAAAATAACATTACACCTTAAAATTGAAATCTGGTCCTATAATTTACATTTTTCGGAAACTGTTTTTCCTTTGACATATAAGCCAAGACCTGCCAATGAATTCAGAACGCTATCAACATTTTAACTAGTTACTGATCATTGTTTACTCAGTAATAAACCATTCCTATTCAGTGTGGCTTTAGTTCCCTGTGGTGACAAGTAAGTTCCCTCTGGTTGGTAAAAAAGCAGATTAAATGACAAAGAAAGTGTGTTTCTGTGTCAGATCAGGACGATGTTGACTGGCCCAGGATTTTCTCCCACCCAGTGGTTCCTCTAAGCCACTTCTTAAAGAATCAAAAGGCAAATCTTAAAAGCTACCTGGCAAAGAGCGGATCAGGAGGCAAAGTTCTGAGTCTGTTGGAGGTCATATCCAGCCGGGCCAGCTTGTAAAGCTCCCCAAACACTCCTTCTGCTATGTGGTCAATTAAATTATGATCCAGGTTCAGCGTGTGGAGGCTGGCCATGTTCTGAATGGATTCCCATGGTACCCTGTTGGAAGAAAATATATTCTTGTTTAGAACGATTAAGGAGACCTTTTTTAATTTAGTAAACTGTCATGTTAGGTCACGTTCTTGCTCCGCTGGGGCAGGAAGTTCCTAGTGGGTACAATCATGCAGTAATTAGTAGTAGAGTCAGTAGCTAACGTTCACTTTTGGGATACTTGGTACCGTTGGTCTGAACTCAAGAAAGCAAAAACCCATTTTTGGTGAAAGAAGACGCATGTCAGTGTGCCTTTTTGGTTCCCTTTGATACCGTCACCTATTCCTAGGACTATTCGGAAGAGTTTCACAAAATATTTGGCTCTCCAATAACCATCAAGAACTTAAGCATAAATGACTAATCTCTGCAGGAATGAGTATGTACATTTTCCTCCAGATATTGAGGCTGGAAAGAGGCAAAAGCGCTCCTGTTCAGCAAACAATTGAAACATCTTAATCAGAGCTGACGGCTAAATGCTGCTGAATTCATCTGTATTGTGTGCCTTAGTGAAAAGGGGGAGAGGCTATAATTATTCTTCAGTCTTCCTATTCAGTCCATGAGAATAGTGATGCCATAAGAATCTCTATTGTCACATAACGATGTGAGGGAAATGAACCTCGTGCAATATCTTCAGCTATAGACTGTTAGCAAAAGCAGTCATTCACACAGAAGATGGCTTCATCCAAGTCTAATCGAATCACAGTGAAAGGAAATTATAACGTCATCAAAATGGATTCAGTTTTCTGAGCTTTGAGTCTTCCCAGCATCAGCATTTGAAACCACAATGTCTTCTCTTTCTTTGCTGATTCATCCACGATGGTGCAGCCTGTTGCCATTGTGCCTTTTTTAGATGTTAGGAGGACTCTTGTGTCTAAATCGTGTGACTGAGACTAAAACTAGAGTTCTCACCTCCTAAGGTTGTTGTAGGAGAGGTCAAGGTCCTCTAAGGTGAGCAAGAAGTCATCAAACGCCTCAACGGAGACTTTAACCAGCTGGTTGTTGTTGATGATCAGGTGCTGCAGGTTGATCAGGCCTGAAAGGTCCTTGGGTCCAACTGTTGTCAAGCGGTTACCTAAAGAGAAAACATGACCAATCTTTATTGGCTTATTTAGTGCTTTGACAGTTCAGCTAGTCTAATCTGAACATTTTAAGGCCGTATAGGTCACGGTAAACAGTTGTAACCGCTCACCGTCCAGATGCAGAGAGCGTAAACTCTCCAGGTCAGCGAAGGCCATCGGTCTGATAAGGTGGATTGTGTTTCTCGACAGAGTCAGATCAACCAATCCGGACATGTTCACAAAGTCATTTCCACCCACTTCGGTTATAAAATTGTCGGCCAGTCGCAGCTCAACCGTCCGCCGGTCAACGTGCGGCGGGACAAAGAGGAGGCCCTTATCGGCGCAGAGCGTGCTGAGGGATTCTGAAAGGTTTCGACACACGCAGTGGAAGGGGCAGGCCGAGACTACGCCCCACGTCTCCCCGGCTCCAATCAGAGAAGGCAGCAGGCAGCATGTGACCAGAGTCAGCCAATGAAACACCGGGAAAGTGACAAAGTCAGGAAGGGTTCTCCTTGTAGTCCTTGGACAGGCACAGTGGAGGAGGTGGGATGAGGAGGACAAAGATGAGATGAGAGTGGGGAGCAGAGAAAACGAGAGGACGGATGGAGGGAGGCGTGACGGGGAGGTGTATCCCTCTGCTCTTTGTTCAGGGTGGAGGTGTGAGCGGGGCAGGTGTTTTTGTCTGCGGGGATGGAGGGGTGGGGGGACGAGCATGGTAGATCGCCTGGCTTTCCACAGACCTACAGAAACAAAGAAAAGGAGACGTCTGGATTCAGTTAGTGAGAGTCTGTGTTCCTGTCTGCTCAGAACAAAACCATCGCCTGCCTCAGTAATGCTTGTGATGCCACTCCACTCGTGTTTTATGCAATCGCTTTAGAAATCTGTTTGGTCTGCCCTCCATTTCTTTATATTTTGTTTCCAGCAGTAAACTCGTCTTGTAATCTTGTGCTCTTGATCAATATTTTCTACAGACCTGCTGAAAGGTTTGTTAAACTCAGTCATTCACGCATAAATATGCCCTTAAACATGAGATTTAAACCGATGCCGTAGACACGCAAAAGACAAATTTGAAATATCTTTTTCATCCAAGAGATTTTTTTCCAGAAACTAGCTCAAAGTACTTGCTAGCAACATCTTAGCACCCAGCAGCCATTCTCAGTGACACAATTAGTAGCTTTATTCCAGTAAACTGACTTTAAACACCAATATATCATTTGAAAAAAACATTTGTAGTGTTTTTGACCCAGTAATACACTAAAACTACTAGCTGTAGTTTGCAGACACGTCAGACTACTGCTGGTTAAATACAAACACCACTGCTGTTGTGTCCTCGGACAAGACACTTAACCCGCCGTGCCTGCTGGTGGTGGTTGGAGGGACCGGCGGCGCCTGTGCTCGGCAGGCCTCACTTCTGTCAGGGCACCCCAGGGCAGCTGTGGCTACATCGTAGCTCATCCCCACCAGTGTGAATGACTGATTGTGTTGTGGAGCGCCTTGGGGGGTTGTAGAACCCTAAGAAGATTAGGTCTGAAGTAGTACCCTAAGAAGATTAGGTCTGAAGTCACATCTTTGCTTCACGGTGTCCCCCAGGGCTCGGTCCTTGGCCCAATTTTGTTTCTTTTATATATTTGCCCTCTTGGGGAGATTATTAAAAGCTTTACTAAAGTGTCCCACCATTTATATGCGGATGACATTCAACTGTACTGCTCTTTCAAGGACACAGAGTTTAACAAGTTTGCTGATCTACTTGATTGCATTGCGTGATTTAAGGTCTGGCTAGCTAGTAACTGTCTTCAGTTGAACTCAAGCAAGACTGAAACACTGATCATTGCTCCTGAACAGAAAGTGCTGTTTTGCCTTTTTATGTATGTTGTGAAGCACTTTGTGATTTTATCTGTGAAAAGTGCAATATAAATAAAGTTTTACTTACTTACTTAAGAAGGCTCTATATAAAATCAGGCCATTTAATGAGCCATTAAACATTTTCCCTGGCCCTGCATTATACTCCATCCTTTTGTTTCTATAGTTTTTATCTCTTTGTACCATTTAAGGCCTAATATTCCATTTGAAAGGATCTTTTACATTTCATTTGACATGTTTGGATCCCCCAGGGTCCCAAACCCAACTGTGGGAAGCAGACGATTGACTGAAAGCTGATTCATCTCTCAAGTCCTCTTTATTTTTTTTTCTTTTGTGGATATTTTGTTCCGTTTCTGAAAGACCGTAGACGCAAGCACACACTGCACAGTTTTCCTGTTCAGGTCCAAGGCCTGGGCAGAATGGTGGTGAAATTGAAAGGGATGCCAACGTCAGAAGATAACAACTATTGACCGTGAGAAAACAAGAATGCCAGACATGTGGAAGTAAAGCATCAAGGTTGTAAACGTGTTTAGAAACTTTTCCACGGCGCCGTAACGCGTTTCTACAACCCTAGGCCGTTGCTTAGCAACATCACGAGGACAGAACACAGTCGGTCCCCGTGGTAACGGTTACCTAGAAACTTAAGATGGGATTAGAGCATCGTTATGTCACCAGACCCTTTTCTTAAGACTCTGGGGCTGAGAAGCGAACTGGGTCGCAGGTCTGTCCTCCGTGGTGGTACAGCAGGACCGGGGGTCGTCTTAGTGTCGATCTCATAAAACACAAACAGAAATCCAGCTGTGAACGTGAGGCCGCCTGTAAACACACACGTGAGGCTTCGCTAAAAGAAGTCACCATCACTCGCTGGCATGCACAGCAGTTGTTATGGCAACGGTAGCCTGGATGGTGTGTGTGTGTGTGTGACGGGGCTTGTTGCTAACAGCCACACTCGTGGTGACAGTAGGGATGACACGCTGAGTCAGAGAGACAAAGTGTCCTCTCTGGAGACCGGTTCCTAGGTGGAGCTGAAAGGTAAGGGTGCGTATGGACGCTGCGTCTGAAACGAGCTGCTGAAGCCTGAGAAACAACCAGCCGTGACCATTCGTCATCCTGACGCTTACAGCATGACACAAATGACTACTTAATGGTTTCCATTTGATTCTAGCTTAGCTGTTTGTGTGGAGCTGTGAAATGTTTGGCCATCTATCTGAGATGTCGAGGTTTTGCATTAATCCTCCTCTCCCTGCATGCTTTCACGTGTTCGCTCCGTCCTAGGGCAGCCTTCAAAACAGAAACCCACAGCAGTTAGGACGGGGAAGTTCATCTCAGGCTCACATGTTTACACTTGAGTCCCATTTCGTCCTTGATGTGAGGGGTCAGGGTCCGGGTCAGAAGTTGGAGGAACAGGAAGTAGACCACGGTCCTATTTATCCCCATTAACGGAAGGGTGTGACTACAGATGCAGGACTGCCCCTTTTGGCTCTGAGGGCCTCTGGATGTTGCGGGAAATTGAAACGACTTCCTGGAAATATGAACTTTTAAAAAGAAACATGCTCCACTTCAGCAGCTGTGCCACATT